TTTTATTTATTTATTTGACAGAGAGAGACACAGTGAGAGAGGGAATACAAGCAGGGGGAATCGGGGAGGGAGAAGCAGGCCTCCCGCGGAGCAGGGAGCCCGACGCGGGGCTCGATCCCAGGACCCTGGGATCATGACCTGAGCCGAAGGCAGACGCTCAACGACTGAGCCACCCAGGTGCCCCTTAATTTATTCTTGATAATAGAAATCCAGCTCAATCAATCAGTCCATCAATCTTTATTAACTGTCAACTGAACTTAATACCTTTCCAGGAATACATTGTATTACAATAAATGAAAACCACCTGGCTAAGGAACATTTCTTTCCTTGCTATTGATTTCTTATGAGTGCAACCTATTCTTTGCATCATTTCTACAAACTACCTGAAAATTTGACACTCTAGGGGACCTTAAACAGCATGAAAGGGATTACTAAATAAGCCAATAAGATACTACTTAATAACCTGAGGACTGTGTGGTATTTTAGTTTCATTGCCTGATTTTATGACTTCTGTGAGCTAAAATTAAAATTCCCAAACCCATTATCACTGTAAGAAGCAATCCAAGGTTGTAGCTCATAAGCAAAATAGCTCTTTTCTTCTCCCAGATTTCTTTATCCTTATGGCTGCTCTTTTCCATCAGCAGTAAAGTAGGGGATAAGGGTTGAAAATGAAAGAGCTTCATTAATTTCAAATATCAAATTACTGAATGACTCGGGCCTTCAATGGTGTAGTCCTGCTTTTTAATTATTAGCGGTAAGAGAAAGCACACTTTATAATTACCTTTATTCTAAAGTTTCTATAAAAGAATAATGACCAAGGGAGGCAATACACATTACTGTACCCTCAGTTCTGCAGTTCTTTATGACGACAGCTTTGAGGGCATGCAATCTCCTGGGAAAATAAAAGAGATTCACGGTGCAGAGAGAGCTCGGGGTGAGGTCGCCATCTAGTGGCTGCCATTCAAAACATGCATCACTGGGCTGCTGGGCTCAGCCCCAAGGAGCTAGCAAGGGATGTGGGAGACCTGCAGGCTCCTGTCTGCATTAACAGCCCACAGGGATTTCTTGAATAATTAATTCAAGATGGCTGAGGGTTCTAAACCATATAACCATTTTTACATCTCTTTGCTCACGTTCATTAAGTAAAGCTAAGTTACCCTTCAGACATGCAGAAGAGTAACCTTACCTCTCACTACAAAGGTGTCTATGTACATACAACCGGTGGGTTTTGGATACTTATTATGGTTCTATTTGACTTCATTTTTGACGGGAGAGGGGTGAGTGTTGTAGTCTTCACTAAAATGTACTCCTCACATTACCCTAATGCATCCCCTTGTATTTTTCCCATATCATAATACAAATCATTTTCTTATGATGGATTGTGAATTCCAGCAAGTAGCCTGATTTGGTGACATCACACAGACATGGATTTGGAGCTTAATTACACAGCTCTTTCTAAGTGCCATGTCCTCTTAAGTAAAATAAGAACACTTATCTTTCAAGGCAATGGGGAATTACAGATTTAAGGAGCTGATACATGTAAGACGGCTATCCCAGTATCTAATGCCTACTGGGCACTGGATATATGTCTCCTGCTCTTCCTCTATCTATAGACTCTTCTTATCTACAGACACACACACACACACACACACACACGCACATTCCTACCTACACGCATATATACATGGCTCTCTATAATTCCAGACTCCAGAATGATAGAAGTTCAGGCTCATGAATATAAAATTAAATTATAGGACCCCAAATTGCAGAACCTTTAAGCTGGAGAGGGCCTCAGCAGTAATAGGATTTCAGATTTAAAAATGAGGAAATGAGGAAAATAGTTTTATCATATCTGTCCCAATGGCAAAAAGTATTTTAGTTACAATGACTGTATTAAATCCCAGGGATCCTGACTCTAACTTGACTGTCTTATTCACAGAAGAATCTAGAGAGAGTTTACACCACTGACTTCAACTGACAAAGACCAGACATGGTAAGTGACTTTTTCAACATCTGGCAGAGCATTCTCCAACATCTGGCAGAGAATTCGAGTCAGGGCCCAGATCTCCTGACATCAACAGCATTCTACATAATACTCCATGCTGCCGCCAAGTTTTCTTCTCCCATATGGACAAGAGTTCTGCCTAACAGAAGTGCACTGCTCTGGAATGTTAGAGTATAGACTTATTTGGAGACAACATGGAAGGTGCCCTCTCTCTTCCACCTTAGACCTCATTAAATTACCCATTAAATTGTGGCCAAAAAGCTACCTTCATAAGCCACTCCTGGTTTCTCCAACCCAAAATGATAATTTTCTCTTCTGACATGACAATGATAATCTTACCCATCCATGCTAGAATCTCATTACATACTTTTTGTCTTATTTTCAAATGCCTGGGTCCTATCTAATCCACTAGATTGGTTAATTATTTGAGGAAACAGATAATCTCTTGTGCTTCCTTCTTATCTTTTACATCCTTAGCACACTGCTGATATGAAACAGGCTCTCAAGAAATACCTATTGCTTATGTGAAAGCTCTGAATGTTCCTTTATGTATGGATCTATCCGTTCATTCATCCGTTGCCCTCCTAGAATGTGAATAACACCAAGCCAAGGACTGGCCTATTTGTTCACTTCCCTATTCTCAGTGCCTTCTAAAGCAGTACTCAGTACAGGGTAGGTACTCTATTCATAACAATTAAATAAATGATGAAATAAATGAATAATTACTCAGCCCCTTCTAAGTAGCCTGTAGTGATCTCAGTACTTACTTTTACCTGTAATGCTCTGAATTTCTGGTTTACCCATCTCCCTCCCCTAGAGAGTAAGTCATTTATTGAAGGAAGAAACTGGTCATTGGGAAGATGATTGATAAGTGATTTTTGAATAAAGGAATAATAAAGGAGCTACAGAACTCTACATCTACTCTCCATCTACTCTATGCCTAAGGAGAGAGACCCATCAACATACAATGACAGTAATGGGTAAATTTTATAATACAGATCAATGAAAAGGGATTATGAAACTAAAGAAGACCTTCTTAGCCTTACCTGAGCTTGTCAACGAGAACATGTCACATGACTTCTGTTAAGCAAAATAAACATGTTTCAAAAAACCTTTTGCTCGCTGAATGACCCAGAGGATGACAGGAGCAAAGAGAGACACATTTCCCTACATAGAGCTGTACTCACCCTCAGCCACATCATCATCCACGGTTAACTTAAGGCTTTTTCCTCTCCGCACCACCCGGACGGTGTGCCATTCATTGTCATTGAGCTTCTGCCCCGCATACAGGGTCTCAGGTCCTTTGCCTAAGGACGATGGTAAGTGCCAAAGTTAGAATCAATTCTGAAAGCAGCGATTACGGTATCAGAACTGTCAAAGCCACACTGACGCACAGAACCCAGTAGCATTCAAGGAATCATATGCACGCCCCACCACCAAAGCCCATCCCAGTTTCACTGCCCCAACAGGATGTTCCACAATTGTCTCCAAATGCAAAAGTCTCAACTCATATGGACATTGGCAAAGCAGTGAAAGAAATAAGTGCCCTCCTTTGTCTACAGAGAGAAAGTTCTAAAATGCCAAGAGCAGTAATTATAAGAAACAATAGTCAGCCATCATTTTGTTTCCCAAAGTCTTAGATTTCAGATGAATTTCTTGAAGATATAGGAAATTCATCATTCATTTTTAGAATCATTTGGTCACTCAGGCATAATACACCAGTCTGGCTTTTGGAGAGTATACATCTATTGGATGAGAAAAGAGTTCTGTAATATATACTCTTAACTTGATATTGCCATTAACCCATGGTCCTATCAGAATTCAGCAACCATAGAAATCACAACAGTAATCATCATAATAATAATGTTGAGGTCTAACCCCCATGATAAGTAATGCTCCTGAAGGGAATGTGAGGGGCCAGAGACTTATTGTTCATCATCCTCCAAAAAGATCTAAAGATCTAAAAAATGAAATAATGTAAAATGCCAAAATCAAACGCTTTTAGGTCAAAAGAATGTTCAGGAGAAGGTGCCACCAGATGAAGGAATAAACCAAGTTGTCTCAAAAGATCCATGATCAAAATGCTCAAGAGGATGTTCAGGTGTACCCTAAGAAAAATCAGGTTCAACGAGGAATTATAGTATTTAGGGGCAGACGTGGCAAGATAAACACTGAGGCATTAAAAGAATTTGGTTAGTAATGGGGGGAAAATGTCATGTTTTGCTCAGCACTAAACTGAGATGTAAATTTAAAAGACAAAGAAGATTGCATAGAACCAGAGAACTTAGACCAAGTTCCAAGTTCACTATGTGGATAGCTGAGCCCATGCAGAAAGACCCCGTGTGAGTCTTCCTGGATTAGTCAAAAACTATGTAGAAAGCCCTATCTCTGGAAACAACTTGGGAAAAAAAGATAAAATATGTAACTGGCCAATATATTCCTATGATATTATGCATCTGAAATATTTCAGAATACACTTGGATCCAACATATAGGAACACAGTAGGTGCTTTAATGAGCACTTGCTAAACAACTGATGTCTACATAGGTATTTATTTCTTTGGAAACCATCAACTAAGGTCAATACATTTTTATCTAACTAATTTTGAAAGCTCTATTATATAGATTTCACTAGCCACTCCACCCCCTCTTCTGCCTCCAAGACTCCAAAACAGTATTGTATAAATTTAGGGAAGAAAATTAAAAAAAAATAGTATCACTTGGGTAAATATCTTCTAAACTAGGTAATTTTAAACTGTACCCTTTAATTCTGAATTATTAGTGTTGCTACTAAATGCTCTTTATAAGAGTAATGATGGGGTGCCTGGGTGGCTCAGTCAGTTAAGCAGCCAACTCTTGATTTTTGGCTCAGGTCATAATGTCAGGGTCCTGGGTCCAGCCCTGAGCCCCATTAGGCTCTGCACTCAGCACACTCAGCAGGGAGTCTGCTTCAGGATTTTTCTCTCTCTCTCTCTGCCCCTCCCCCAGCTCACTCTCTCTCTAAAATAAATAAATCCTTTTAAAAAAGAATAATGATAGCAGTTGAAGTTTGGGGAAATTTTCTTCTTAAAAATAAAGATTTTCAAAGTAAAAAGGTTTCTTTTAATTAATATGTATACAATAGATCATTTGTATTTTTTTTCAGAATGTACCTATATCCCAAGTACAATGCAAATTCATAAGAATCCTAAGAAATCAATGAAGAAACTTAAAGTGGACCAAATGTACCCCAAATTGGGTATGATGCCATGAGATCAATGAATCTGAAGGTAAAAAAAATTCTATGATAAACCATTTTATATTCAATTTTAGCTGTTCTTTGTGAGTATGCCTGTCTTACTATTATCTAAAGCATATACATTGTAACAGAATTTTTCCTACATCTCACCTCATTAGATAGCATTGTTCATTATCTCATTAAATTCGGGTCTAAGATTGATGTTAACACTCAACTTTACAACAGCAAACCGTGCAGGCATTGAGAGAAAATGGGCCACATCATGTGGGTGCTTTGAAGCAAGAACAGATGTTCTCAGAAGAAACAAATCTGCTGTTGTTTTTGTGTGTGTGTGTGTTCTTATCCTCTTTATTCTACATGCAAATGCTTCAATAAGAAAGGGGAAAGTAAGGAAAGACGTAGGAAACATAGGCTATATTGTTAGAAAGACAGGCTATTCAAACATCTATAGGTAGCATCTGTTCTTTAGGCAGTGTTTGCACATCACTTAATTTTTATGATCGGGGACAAAGTAAGAGGGAGAAATACTAACACCAACATGGTGACAGTTAGCGACATGGCCATATTGGTGTCATATTAGTCATCGGTGTAAAACAAGATTTGCAATCAGCCCAGTGTGTTTTAAATGCTGCTGACGTTTTGCAGGGACTTGGAATTTTCTTGTGTCAAATTCAAACAAAAATATTTAACTATCCTTTTGACTCTAAAACTTCAGGATGTGATAGTCTACAACCAAACATGTGGGAAAAAAGACCTGAACACCCTCATGCCCTTCTGCTTGGCTACAGTTGCTGTCTCCAACCCCAATAATCCTCGTGACTCTGCCAGGAGAAAAAAAAAAAAAAAATCCATACCCGTCTCATTAAAATGGTAGGGAAATGAATATTATCCAATATTCATTTTCAAGCAATAAATACAGAAATCCCAGTGAGCTTCCGAAAAAGTTTCAGCCTCCAAAAGTGGAGAGTCAATGGCATTTATCTTTAATCATGCCAAAAGGTCAATGCATCCCTACCAGAGAGAAAGTGATGTTTAAACCCAGCTGGAAATGTAGGCAAACAGAGGGCAAGAACAAATCTAATTTGTAGCCTAAGCGTAAAACCGGATTGATAAGTAATACAAGATGTAGATACAAGCTGAAAGTTAAAACATACAAACCATCTGGTTTTCAAAGAAGGAGGATTTAGTCTAAGGAAGACTTCCCTGGCCGATTCAAGCACAGAGCCAGTGAAGCAGCATCAGTTAAACAATGAATGTAAAGATAAGGATTAGACAAGGAGGAGAAACTTTTTGTTGTTGTTGTTGGAATTTAAAATGGAACTGATAGGACTTTAATTTTTAAAAAATTTTTAAAAAACCTCAGAGCCATTAATTTTCCTCCATTGTCCTTTTTCTTTTTTGTAGCTAGGAGAAATGTGATCTGTGATTAGGTACATACTGGATGTATCTAACAGAGGCATGCTTCCTTTTATAGCTTAACTAGTAAATATTGATCACACACACAAAAAGAAATCAACATTTGATTCCCTTTAGGTTGCTTAGATCATCACTGTTTGATCTAAATACAGGAAGCTAATAACTTATCTGACACCCTATAGCTGAATTTCCCAAGTAATGACCTCTGTGACCAGAGTAAAGAAGCAAAATCACAGTTGAAGATTTCCGGGATGCAGAGGTCTGTAGAAGCGAGTATTCAATTGTATTCAAAAGAACCTTTAATGAATCTTTTGGGTGATACCACCCAAATTCCCATTCTTGACCTAGTCTCACTGCAAACTCATTTGGCATCATCTCTTAGTTAAGACTTGTCTCACCAAAGATGATCTAATTTTCTGATGGACATGGATAGAGAAGGAGTCATCACAGATGAAAAATACAAGATTTATTTTCTTGACCTATCCTACAGTAACCCTGTGGGAGGCCTATTTCTTTAAGAAGCCAGAACTAATAGTAAAATCAAAGTGAAAAGTTAGGAGAAAAGCATTCTTTGGGAGAGAAATCATTGCTGATTGCTTGGAGGAAGATGACGCTCAGATATTAACAGATTGTTCCCTTTGAGGGGACAGGGAATGGGAGCGTATGGGGAAAAAATCTGTATTTGGGTATCTCTAAAGGCACACACCTTCACAAGGTGGACTTTGGCTCTTCATGATTTTGAACCTACTTAGTTGTTTTCTTTTTATTTTTTGTTGTTGCTTTTTGGTAGACTCTTCATAGAACATGAATTTGTTATTCCCCCCAGGAGCAACATAACCCGCACAACTATAAGATACCCGAATATGCATTAGTTTGTCAATAAATTTCTAAAACCTGCCCAAACCAACTAAACCAGATGGTTTTGCTCATACACAGGGAGTAGAAATTCCTTCCAACTGCCACAAAGTATTATCTCCAAAAGTGGGTGGATAAGACTGGAAACTTACTTTGCTTGGGGTCAGGGGACAGGGGTTAAGGGCACACTCTCTATACCATAATCACTTTGCTTTACTGGAACATCTTTCTATTTGTGCAGGAGAGAGAAAGAAACAACAACTTGATTTCCCGTGGAACTGTGTTTCACATGAATCAAAATTTCTACAATGCATAAAAAAATATGAAATTCACTCCCTTAGAAAGGTATAGCAAAAGGCATGTGATTATACATCTAAATGGCATGATAAATAAATACTCGAAATGACTGTGTTAGGTTTAATGAACACCAAAAAATATTTAAAAAGAGAAAACTTACCTTCATTTCCACCACCACCCTAGGTTAGGCCAGCTGAGCTATGACAAAGCCTAGCTCAGCTAGGCTGAGAGAATAGATTAGGCAATTAAAAGCAGGGGTGAGTAGGGCAGTGGGACTATAGACTAAGGAGGGTGACCGAGAAATGGGAAAGAAGCATCTCATTTTTTATCCAAAGCAGTTTCAGGTTCTGGTTGTTTTCTTCAGGTTGACAACCCAATGGAGAATAAGAGGTGTTTTGTTTTTATAAACTCATTTTTTACAAGATTTTATTTATTTATTTATTTGACAAAGAGAGACACAGAGAGAGAGGGAACACAAGCAGGGGGAGTGGGAGAGGGAGAA